GCAGATTGGGGGTGTTATGAGTCCCATCAGCCAAGGAATGTTGGCTGATGGAAAGCAAATGTTCTGCCTTCTTAGCAGCAGACCCTGCCGTGTGGAATATTCTTCCTTCAGGATGGCCCTGACTCAGTTAGCCTTTTGTAAGATTCTAAGGATCTAATTATGTCCATGGAGTCCTGAAATTGTTAGGGGATTCATTACCTGGTTCCCTTGTTAATTTTTATGTAATTATGTCACTGTGTAAGAAATTTTATGAACTAGAATAGCCATAGCAACAAACCAGCCAATGAGAACTGTTTTTGATTAAGACATAGTATTAGCTGTGTGAAGCATGTGATCTAGCCTAGGTCTGAGAGTGTCTTAGTCTTCTCTGTGTTTTTTTTTTCTGATCGCCAAGTTAAGAGTTGTTGATGTTGCCCAGAGCTGAATGAAACTGTATGTATCATGTTTATATATATTTTATACATAAAGTTTTTCTAAACTAAGCCTCCTGCTCATTTTGAATGTGTGCTTATTTTGGGGCTTATTTTTGCATTGGAAAGCTGTAAAACTCCAACAGGTTATGAACCCAGATCCCAGCCAGCCCTTGCACACAGTTCAGACTGAAGAAAAAGATTGAGGCTCAGCACAGAGCTGTAATTAAGCTGAAGGACTGTCTAAGTTAAATAAACAAGAAAAAGGCAGAGGCTGCTCAGCTGAAGGCTTGCAGGATGGCTGATTTAAAGGAGAGCTCTCTACCTTGATTGGGACAAAAGAATTATCTTATTTGGGCTGCAAAAATGGAATGCTTCCTGAAGGCTAAAGAGCTCTGGGACATTGTGATTAATCCACCCCAGGGGCAATTAGCAGCTACAGATGAATGGAGGGATGATAAGGCACTGGCTTACATCATCTCAAGTGTGGAAGATGAACAATTCTTAAATGTAGCTGACTTAAAAACTGCAAAAGAGGTTTGGCTGAAGTTGAGAAGCGTCCATGTGAGTGAGTCAGCATGCAATATAATGCAGTTATCAAGGCAATTGTACAGAGTCCGGCTGCTGCCACATGACAGCAGAGAAAAGTATTTGTTCCACATGCAGAAACTGTTTGTTGAATTAGAACAGCGAGGAATGCAGTTTCCTGAGTCTCAGAAGGTGCTGTTGGTACTAAATAGTCTTGATGAAACATGGGCCATTGTTTCAGCTGTTTTTGAATGCAGACCAGAACAGGAATTAAGTATGGAAGCACTTAAAGCCTGTTTGATTTCTGAAGAACAGAAACGCCATTTTAGAAAAAGCAACGAGGAGAAATTCCTGAGGTGGGGGTCCAAGGAGCAGAAAGAGAGCAAAGCAGCAGACCTGCTGTCTGCAGAGATTGCATTACATCTCAGGAGAGAATTCCCAAGAGGAAAGAACAGGAGAAAAGGAAATGTTTCATGTGTGAAACTCATTTAAAGAAAGACTGTTTACAAGGAAGAACAACAGCAAACAGACAAGCTGCTGTTGCAAAAGTTAGCTATTATAATAGTAGAGACAAATGGTTAATGGAGTGGAGCTAGTCAAACAATTGTTAATAATTCTAAGTTGTTTTCCAGATTGGACTCAACTGGAGGAGATGCAGTGGCCTTAGCAAATGGCCAGAAGGAAAAAGTCATGAGGAAAGGCAGTGTGCTGATTCCATGTCTGGAGGAAAGGTTTAATAATGTATTATATGTGCCTGAAATGGAGCATAATGTACTAAATGTTTCCAGTCTGGACAAACAAGGGTTTGAGACCACATTTGTAGATGGGAAATGTCTCATAAAAAGAAATGGGAATGTATGTGCACAGGGCATAAAGCAGGATAGTCTTTATGTGTTGCAGGCACAAAAGATTCAATGTGCCCAAACATTTGGTAATGTGGCACAACATGATTCATGCATTCATCTCTTGCACAGAAAGCTTGGCCATGCCAGCTTCAGAGTGTTGCATAGGATGCCAGAGTTTGCAGAGGGATTAACCTTGAAAGTGTGTAAATCATACTTAGACTGTGCAGTGTGTAAATCATCGAAATCCAAGGTATTCCCAGTAAGCAAGAAGAGCACAAGGCAGACAACAAGGGTTCTAGAGCTGGTGCATGCAGATTTAGTAGGACCAATGCAAGCCAGCTTGGGAGGAGCCAGGTATGCATTAGCCATTGTAGATGACCATAGCAGATTTGGGTTCTGCTATTTGCTTAAGAGCAAAACAGGTGTTGCAAAAGTTCAAGCAATGGGTGAGCTTTGCAGAAAGAAGATATAGGCAACAGGTATGCCAGCTGCAAACTGACGGGTTCAGAATTCATGTCAACAAGTTTTCAACAGTGGTTGGGACAGCTAGGAATATGACATAGATGCACAGTACACAGCAGCTGAGAATGGCACGGCTGAAAGACAGAATGGAATCTTGCAGACCATGAAAGACTCACTGCTGGAGGATTCTGGTCTGAGCAGGTCGTAGTGGGGTGAAGCCATGTTGACTGTTAATTATTTGGTCAATAGGCTGTGGAGTTCCTCTCTAAATGATACTCCATATGCTGTGCTGTCCATATGGGAGAAAGCCATCTCTAGCACATTTAAGGGTGTTTGGAAGCAATGCATGGGTGTATATTCCAAAGGCAATTAGGAAAAAAAAGGACAGCCAAAGGCTAGAAAGCTCAGATTTATAGGCTATGAGCCTGGCTCAAAGAGCTATCGCTTTGGGAGGAGAAGTATAGTAATTTCCAGAACTGCTAGCTTTGCAGAGCAGAATTGGAGCAGAATTGATGCCAGTTCTGGGGATGATCCATTTAGTGATGGTGACTCACTTAGTGATGGTGTCAGCATTCAGGGAGGAGAAGCTAAAAAAGGACAAGAAAAGGAGTCAGAAGAAGATGGTGACTCTGATGTGAAGCAGAAAAGAGTTGACAGTCAAGAGCAGTCAATGCCATGCAGGTCAGAGCGATGGAACAAGGGGATTCCACCTGACAGGTATTCTGCTAGGAAAGTAAAGGTGTAATGACTGGTATGAGCCAAGAAACTATCAGAAAGTATTGGCACTACCCAAAGTGAAGCAAGTGAAGTGGAAAGAGACCATGGACAAAGAAATGAAATCCATGGATGAACATAGAGTATTCACCTCTATGGCTTTACCACAAGGCTAGAAAGCTGTAGGATGTAAATGGGTATACAAAAAGAAACTGTTACCCAACAATGAAGTCCAGAAAACAAACAATTGTAGCTATTTCTATGTACAGGCAGAATTTATTGCTCTGTCTGAACTGTGTTCAGAGGTAACCTGGTATGTACAGCTGTTAAAGGATTTAAGTATAGAAGTTAAAGAAGCTGTAACAGTATTTGAAGATAATGCTGCTTGCATTAAAATGGCAGCAGGTGACAGAGTGAAAAGTAGAAGCAAGCATGTGGACATTAAGTATTGTAATGTCAGAGAAGCCATCAAAAGTAAACTATTTCGCTTGCTTCATTGTTCTTCAGATGACAATCTGGCAGATGTAATGACCAAGCCATTGGGTGGAGTACACCATGGGAAGAGTATTAAATTATTTGGTTTTATGTCTATTCCAGTCATAAAGGGAGGAGTGTCACTATGTAAGAAATTTTATGAACTGGAATAGCCATAGCAACAAACCAGTCAATGAGAACTGTTTTTGATTAAGACATAGTATTGACTGTGTGAGGCATGTGATCCAGCCTAGGTCTGGCATGTCTTAGTCTTTTCTGTGTGTTTTTTTTTCCTGATCTCCAAGTTAAGAGTTGTTGATGTTCCCCAGAGCTGAACCAAACTGTACGCATCATGTTTATATATATTTTATAGATAAAGTTTTTCTAAACTATGCCTCCTGCTCATTTTGAATGTGTCCTTATTTTGCGGCTTATTTTTGCGCTGGAAAGCTGTAAAACTCTGACAAATTATTATGATAATTCTCATTTGCCTATATGTATTAATTTTTACTGTTTTATGGTTAATTGCTGGGTTATTGAGTCAGTTGAATTGAGATGAGTGACTGTAGAAATTGGATAAATAAATAAAATACATAAATATAATTCAGTATGTGCTTCCTATATTTCCTGTTTTCATGGGATATGCCTCATTTTCTGAAGCAATTTGCCAAGGAGCTCTAGCAGCAACTGCATTAAAAAAAGTGTTTTTAATTAAATGTGTGGAAGCTCATTTTTTTTTCTTTTCCTACAATAGTTCATGGTACTGTAAGCTTTAGTTTTTTGAATTCCCTTCTAAGAAAATGTTTGAGAAACCTACATTGGTCAACAGAAGTGTAATAGATTTTTAATACCACAATTGTATTCTGTGTTGATAACAAATAAAAATGTTTAGTTGGCTGTTATTAGCGGATTATTTGGAAATAGATTCATTAATCTTTGATAAAACATTGAAAATGAGATACCAAGAAAGAAGTATAACTGAGGCCAGCCTAATCCGTGCATTAAAGTCACTGTTTGTGTAAACTAACATCCATAGAATACTTACTTGATTAGTAGAAGAATCCACAATACATCGTGTACTGATGCTATGGAAATAAACAGAAATCTGATCCTTCACAGGGCCCCTACCTTCTTCTGGACCCAAACGATCCCACCCTTTTTTTCTACAAGGCAATGTAAGTAGAAGCACTGTGCATGTTACCAACATTGTACACAATATTACAGAGAATAGAAGCTATGTGTGCATCTTCCCTACTCTCATCAAGGATAAATTGAAAAGAGGGAGAAATGTCATGGGAACAGGGCTCTCTGAACATTCACACATGACCACTGTAGGGGAAGGAGGGGAAAAAACCAGATTCTATCCTGCTTTGTGAGGAACTTCCTACTGCAGATCAGAGAGCTGGCTGTTTAATTTAAATGTGGAGCTTGAAATTCTGCCTTTCGATTGCATTGCCATGACTGAAGGATACTACAGAGGAGCTAAAAAAAAGTTTCCAAAGTAAAAGTAAGCGGCTAAACAGAAGAGGGAAGAGGAACGAACATAACCAAAAACAAATGAACTTACCATACTGCGAGTGAACTTTTCTAGGGAAGTTCTACGCGCTTGCTCGTTCTCGGGCTTTAGAAGGGGGAAAAAAAAAGTTAAGAAGGGGGGGAAAATGCAAAAAAAAAATCAGAACAAAAAAAACCCTCTTCAGCTAACTTTGGCTTTAGAAGTGTTAGCAAAAGAAAAAAAAATTAAACATCTCAAACATAGGGCAAGCGCTGTTCGCAAGAGCAAAGCAAGAACTTTGTGCAATCATTCCGTAACTGCTTTTCTTTTGGGAAATGTTGTTCTCCTTTTTTTTAAAATATAGCTATGGACATCTAGCCAAAGTTACATATATCAAGAAAATCAGATATAATGATACAATTCTGCATCTGTCAAGTTTCTATAACTCTTTTAGAAGGAAACTATCATTTTTCAGTCAGAAGGTAGTGGTCTGGATTTATGATGGAATAATCCACTCTCTCTGTGTCTGTATATATGCAAGAAAAGCCTGAGGTAGAACCAAATAGAATAAAAGAGGATATGAGCCTTATCCTATTCCTCTTTTCCAAATTTATTTATGTGGACATTTCTATTCTACCTTTCAATGACAAAATCAAATCCAAGAGGCTTACAAATAAAATGATACTCCTTTCTGATGTGTTGGATGTTTATATGAAAATTGATCAAGTTATCTGCTTTTTGCTTAACTTGATCCTTTGGAAGTGCTGTGCTGTGCTGTGGTGATCTACTCAAAATAAATCCCATTGTGCTCAGCTAGACTTACTCCCAAGAAATTATGCATAAAACTGCTGTTCGCGTAAAGGTTTTGCCACGCTACATACAAAACAATCGCATTACTATTATTTGTTATTTTTGTTATTTGGAAGCTGCAACTATAAATACAGGAATTTTAGTATAATAAGAAATTCACCAACACTATAGCTGTATTACTGTCCTCCAGGGAAACATGATTCAGCTCATTTGGCAGAAAACAAATCTTATTAAATATGAATGAAAGGGCAATTTCCCAGCAAACAGGCCATTTAGCTGAATAAAGGAATTGTAATGTTCCGGGGGAAACCCATCAAGATACGACCTAAGTCAATTCACCAGTTTCAGGAGTGAATGATGAATTGGTGCATACATTTGGCATCATTACTAAATCAGCACAGACTATTTTGAGAACAGAAAAACCAGTACTCAGTTTTAGTTCCTAATTTCTGTTTATGTACTGTACTTATTATTAGTCAAATTATATCTCATTTATTACACTAGCCCTTCCAGTTTTCCCCATGCTCTAACTAGATTATATTAAACTTGGAGAAAATTAGTGGTCCAAAGTCATACTCAGCTTTCATGGTTGGGAGTGAAGTTGAAGCAGGATTCCCAGGACTTTAAGACACCAACCCACTTTTTCCTGCCTCCTCGGGGGGGGGGGGGAAGTGGTGTATAACACAGGAAAAAATATAGTGACTCTAATTGCAAAGCTTCACTTTGTGTGCTAATTTTGTGTTCACAAAAGTTCTATTTCCGGAAGACAGTATGTTCATGTTCCCTTTCCTAACACTTCTTGTAAAGCAGTGTTTCCCAAACTTGACAATTTTAAGGCATGAGGACTTCAATTCCCAGAATTCCACAGCCAACAATGCTGGCTGTGGAATTCTGGGAGTTGAAGTCCACATGCCTTAAAATTGTCAAGTTTGGGAAACACTGTTGTAAAGCATTTAAGTAGAAAGGGAAAAAATAGGATTCCAAATCTGCAACAATTAAAAAACATGGAAGCAGGAGAAACTTTCAAATGATATGTATATATATATTTGTACATGGAATTCTCATTTGAAGCATTGCAGGTTTTTGTTTTTTTTGAGAACTGAAACCTGTGTGCACCTGAAACAGATTGGAGCCTGTGTGGATTTTTGTGTGTTTGAGACCAAATCTGTTTAGGTGCCATACTCTGTAAACACTTATGTAATGAAGCAACTGTGATATTAGAACTGAAGGTGCCAGGTTAAATGTCGACTGCATGTGAAACTACACAGTGTTCGTATGTTTGCATGCTGTTTTAGTCTTCCCCAGTTTTCCAGCACTGGTTGGAAATTCTAGGAAATGCATCATATCAGGAGATTGTCAAATTAGGGAATGCTGCAACTGTTTTTTTTCCCCCACTAAGACTCTCTGACCTAGGCCATTTCACACGATTGGAATTGGTCTGCCAGGGATGACTGACTGAGTGAAGGAACATCCACTATAGTTATATTGAGCTTACAGCCCTAAACACTATACTAGTCCTAAAGGCTATTTACAAACAGAACAATTCTACCCACTGAAGTCTGGATGCAATATATTTAATTACTGTAAATATAGAATCCACATGTATAAATAGACAGGGAGTGGCTCATGCAGTTTTCAAACATACCCTTCTCCTTTAAATGTAAAGGAAGGAAGAACAACTATAAGACAACTCACTGTTGCAACCAGCCATTGGGCATGGCTACATAGAGTTAAAATAATTAGGAAATCCTTCACTCTGGTTAGCTGTGGGGAAACTAGATGAGAATATGTGGATCCATGTTTACTTTTTCAGCTCTTTGTTCTTCCTTTCTTTTCCCTGCTCCAATCTACCAGTACTGAGTCCTTTAAAGCACCTATTGTCAAAGAATCACTACCTCATATATGGACATTTTTGTAAGGAAATAGATACATGGATTTAAAACTATCTAGGGCTAAAATTGAGCTTGCAGTAGCAATAAAACCTTACTATGGAAAAAAAAAACCCATGCAATTAATTGGAGTAATCTAAGGAATAACTATCTCAAGCCATGTATAGATAGAGAAAAAGGAGTCCTGATGAATGAATGCTGTACACTGAGAGGAAAAAATAATGTTAAAATGACATGGTTTGAAATATGGTGTAATTCTGTTTTAACTGGCCAACTTGGAGAAGTTGACTATTATTTGTAAATGTTCATTGCTCACACATACAAGTACGTCACTGTCATCATTAACATAATTTTTATAATGACGTTATCTTATATATGTTGCAAATGATTTAATTTGCATCACATCAACAGGCCTGTTACATGTGAAGTCTCTTTCATCACTGCTAGATTCTTCACTTCCACATTCTGATAGATGGGACAAACTTGGATGAGGCCTCTTTGACTCTTATGTCAAGAAAGATAAATACTTGCAGATCACCTTTTTGCCCATTCAGCTTTCAGAACAATAGGGAGGCATCAATTTTAACTAACTCAGCATTTTCTCTGCCAGTCAGGATTCAGGGGTTGGGTTTCAACAGACAGCTCTAACATAAACTTAGAACTTCTTCTGAACTGGTTTCTTTTTCTTCTTTGACCTGAGTCTTTTGAACATTTTTAAGGGACTAAATACAGCTTATTTTGCTATACTAATGCTCATAGGTACTCTTCTCCATTTGGGGAATAAAATGAAAAGACAGCATCAGGAAAGCTAAATCCATGTAATGCCACATTCCCCAATCCCTCTTCCTACTTCTTTTTAAGAATCATAAAAACATAGTGTTGAAAGAGCCCATTTAGACCATCAAGTCGAATCCCCCCCATGCAGGAGGTTAAGGCATCTTAACAGATGGCCTTCCAACCTTAGCTTGAACATCTGCACCAACATCTGCCATGTCTCCTCTGGACAAGAGCTCCACTGCTAAATTGCTCTTACCATAAAGGCTTTTTTCAACTTTCAGAGCATGCTGCTCTATAAAAAGGGATGTGTATAATCCATCTTTGAAAAAGACAGTAGCTGGTGAATCCAATCTACACATAACCACTGTAAGACAACTGTGCTATAGATACTTATCTATAAATATTTATTTTGTGTAGAGTCAGGATTTGGGCTACGCTTTGACATCCAACACAAGTACTATGTTAAATTCATTGAATGAAATCTGATATTTTTTTTGTCATGGGACCGTAACAGAGAAAGTCAACAGGACTTATGACCAATCATCTAGCATTCAAGACACCCACTGAAGCTATCCTATCTCAGCCACAGCCACAACATTGAATACAGCCCACCAGCTATGCAGACCTATGCAAGAGCTTAATATCAGTGTAAAGAAGAACCACCAAATTGGTTTCAGTAAAAATGGTCTAATGGCCATTGGATAGTTTCCCCACATTATCCAGATTTAATAACACATCTGCTGTTGAAAACTCCCTGCAGTCCATTTCTTGGATGTGACAATGTCTCTTCGGTTCACAACCTCTATATGGCTCTCACAAGAGCAATCGGCGTATAAAATATAACTCTGAGAAATACTTGCAAACTCTTGATGCAAAGGAAGCACTGAAGGGTTCAGTGAATGTCACTGAAGTATTCCACATATTCTATCCAGCCTAGCAGTTCTCTATTTGTGAGTCCATAGAAATATGCAGATGGTAAATGTCTTGCAAAAATTTGTACCAAAAATAGCCTGATACGTAGATCTCTATTTCACTGCCAAAAAGAGCTCTATGCACACATTTCCCCTGCTCTGGAGAGAGTGACCCTATCCAGTCGGCATCAAAGCTTTGCTCATGATCACCAACTGTGCTTCAGAGTTCCCAAGCATACAGGGAACCGGTAGCTTGTCAGAAATAGGTTCTAAGGTTTCTAATCCCATTGGAATTGCAACAGAGAGTTGATAAGGCTGACTGAATTATGGGATCATGGGAAAGCAGCAACTGGCAGAGGAAAGCAGAGAGCCAAATAGACAAAGCAGAGGACTCAATCTCTAAGTCTCTGATTAAACGCATATATATAAAATTGAATATGGGAAGTGGGAAATCCTTTCAGATGGGTATATATTATTTAAACCAAGCCACAGATGAAAATCAAAGTATATCAGCTCTCCGCCCCATTTATTCCTAAATGCCTGATTTGGGATTCTCAAGAAGCCCTTTGTTGTTTTATATAGTAGGGACAGAAAACAATACAGCATTCTGACATGAAAAGAAAATAATAAGACGTGGCTGGATAGAGGAATATAATCAGAATTGCGTTTAGTATTTGTTTAAAATTAAAAATAATAGCAAAAGTCTACGTACAGAAAGTGCTGGTGGAAGGGAATGGCATTCACAGAAAACCAAAAGCTGATAGAAAGTCAAGAGGAAAGCTTCAGGTGAGGCATCACAAGAATAACCATGAGATTAAACAGAAGGGGGGGGGTGTGCCCTGCTTTCCAATGGTTGCTACGCTGTATGACAGGGGTTCTCAACCTTGGTAACTTTAAGACTTGTGGACTTCAACTCCCAGAATTCCTCAGTCCACAAGTCTTAAAGCTTTGCTGGCTGAGGTATTCTGGGAGTTGAAGTCCACAAGTCTTAAAGTTGCCAAGGTTGAGAACCCCTGCTGTATGACAACATTAAATGTGATTAAACAGATGGTATTTGTGCCCTGCAAGTACATAGAATGGCAATTTGCCACTTCATGTTGAAAGATGGTAGAAGAGCCCTTGTTCAGTGACAGCCATGTCAATCCTGGATAACTTCAGTTAAAGGATGCTGGGCAGCGAGATTGGGAAAAATCTATGGACATCTGCTAAGAAGAGCAGACTTTCACAAGGCTTCATGACAAATCATGTGACCCAGCTTAGAAATTGCTTCTGCTTTAGTTTCATCTCCCTATCAGAGGATGATCAGTTCCACTGAACAATGAAGTGGTTTATTTGGATGCCAAACATGGAGCTTTAGGAAAAGGGAAAGACATGTCCTCAATACTCAGAAGGAGGAAAGGGAACAGGTCTTGGCCCCTCACAAAGAATAGAACATTCATGTTCACACAGCAGCAAGCAGCAGCAGCAGGCAGGAGTCAAGAAGGACTTGGAGAAGCAAGCATGTCCTTCCCAATAGATACCTTCTTCTTTGCCAGCAACAAGTCTTGGTAAGCATTGGAACGGAGGAAACGTGCATAGCTGTCACTCTTCATCAGCTTGTAAATATGTTCCTGTGGGAAGACAAGAAATGACAGGATGAGATTTATTATTGGACACTGTTCAACAATCTCTGGGCACCTACGGGGAAAAAAACGTGAAATATCAAAGCATAACTGAAAGGTTTCCCCCCCCCCTCAATTTCTAAAACATGGTGACAGATGTTCCACAATGGACTATCAGCTAGATGAAAAGAAACCTTGGCATGGCTTTGTTCCAGGATAGAAGGAATGATTATTTACGTAATTGAAGGTGTCTTCCATCTTTCAGTCCAAATGACTAAATAAAAGCTTCTCTCTCTCTCTCTCTCTCTCTCTCTCTCTCTCTCTCTCTCTCTCTCTTTCTGCATAATACTGCCCTTCAGATGTTCATTTTTAGTATTCAGAATCTCTAATGTAGATTAGAATCATATGAGGTGAGATAGTAGGATTCTAACCCGTTGCTCTCCACTGACTGTATTCATACAAGAAACGTGTTCTGGTTACCGAATTAGACCATTTGAGGGGTTGTGTGATAAAAAAAATAAATCATAATTTGGTTCAAACTGCAGCTATTAAGAAAAAGTACGATCAATAACTATGATGGGGTACAGTGGGATTTCTGGTCACACTCACAACAATATAAGACCCTACTATTAGACTGAAGATGCAAGTTCATACTGTACACATTTATCTGGAAGTAAAACTTAATTAGGAGAAAAAAGGATCTGGAAGCTGCTTGGAACAATAAAAAGGACTATGTTGCAGAGCACCACATAACTATGTGGAGTTGCTATAATGGGAAGTATGGAACAGAATAATGTGGTTGAAGAGAACAAGGACTGCTAAGATTTAAAGAGACAAAGAACATGCAGAGTGATTTTAAGGGGGGGATTGTTTGGGAAGTGGTGAAGAGGCTAAGCAAGGAGCCTTCAATAAAAGTGTTGAAATTATTTTGGATGAAATGAAATGAAATGAGGGAATGCTGGAACAATTATCTTAAAGGTTTCTAAGGAAATGGAAGTTATATGTTGAATGCTATAAACGTAAGTGTTCTAGAAAACTAATGATGAAAAGGAAATCATAACTGCTGAGAGAATGTTGGGAAATGTAGAGAAGTTAACAGGAGAAATGTTAACACGTAGATACATTAGAAAAATGTTTTATTGTTCTTCTGCACAGGAGAAAAGTAGAAAGAGTGAATGAAAAATCTACAGGAAATGTGGTTTGTAAAGTTTGCCTGGAGACTGAAGAAGCTAAACAACAACAACAACAACAACAACAACAACAACAATAATAATAATAATCGAGTTGGAAGGGACTTTAGAGATCTTCTAGTCCAACCCTCTGCTCAGGCAGGAAACCCTATACCATTTCAGACCTTTCAGACTTAGACAAGCAGCAAAAAGTTTCAAATCAAAAAAAGGAAAGACATCCAGTTGCCATGGCTCAACTTCCAGACAACTCTACCTGGGTGACTGAGAATCTTGACTGACATACTGCCATGCACTTTGGGGAAGAAACCTGGAGGCTGGTGTGGGGCTATGAAAAGATAGCAAGAAAAGATTCCCAAGAGTGATGACCCCAAAAAATCAAGATGGCAACCACAATTGTATGGAACGCTTTCCTTTATATATGCATGCAGAAAACCATATGGGACTTATTTAAGGCATACAAGAAATAGGGAACTGGTTTTGACAATGAAAATGAAATTTTTTGCAAGTTATAACTAAATGGCAAAAAAACCTAAAGCAAATAGGTGAAACTGTGTACTATGTTTAATAAAGAGGGGGAAATGGAACAAGAAATGTTAAGGCATCCAAATGTTGACGGAAAAGTAAAGCAGAGTATGTGGTTCAGTACAGTATTGTATTACAGTGAATAAATATTTGTTGAAAGAAGTTAAAATACCTGTCTATAAGAAAGTGGATTTGCCCATTTTTGTTATCTGGAAATGAGATTGAATGAATTGGAATGGAGAATTTACAAAGACTGTAACTGAAATGGATACTGGATGGTTATGGTCTAAATGCAAAAGTTTGGGTCCAGTATAGAAGAAATATGTTGAGGTGCTTTGATTATATGGACAGTATTAATGAAAACTGAATTGCAAAGCCATTTGAATGAAAAGTAAATGGGTTGAGAGGAAAGAGAAGACTGAATAAGTCATGGTTGGATGGAGCTGAAGATATCATGAGCGATATCATGAGTGATATAACATTCAAGATTAAATTAGTATTGGTCCAGCATGCTACTATTGATAGCTGTAGAACAATATTCATAAAATAGGCCTAATAATGTCCTTAATAAAATTTGCACAACTGTTTGACCAGTTTCCTATAATATTGCAAGGACAGGCCATCTAGTACTTTAATCTAGATTTATAGATTACAATTTCCACCTAACATGATCAGAAGGTTGTGTTATAGCTGAAAAATTACTCTATGCACATTATTATGTTGAATCTTATTCTAGCTTTGAATGGGCTCAAAGACAAGTAATTTTGGATGGTATTTTTTGGTCTGAAAATAGACTCTGCTGGATTTACCTTGATGTAATACCACCAATCTAACCATGCTGGATCGTTCCCAACCTTTTTATTTCTCCTACTGCTATAAATTGACCTGAACGTAGTTGCATTAAGAGACATTGAAAGGATGGTTAAATGCAGTTGTTCAAGAAGAGCCAGGACAGGCATCACATGTGGACCCTTACAAGATGCTGTAGCCATGCCAGCCATTCCAGATTTATTGATTTTATATCTATGGAGTAATCTTTAAGTAACCTAATAAGAAGGTTGGCCTAAGAGATAATAGGCAGTCAATTGTCATGGAAGCTCTATAGAGCTAAGGCTATTGAACAACTTATTGAACCATATGGTCATTCTAATTTCAATCAAAGACTCTAATCAATGTTCCAGTCTGGCTCCCGCTTTGTTGTTTGGACACGTTGTGTGACACATCTTTCCTTGTTCATTACTGTGCTCATGCAAGTAGACCCATACGATGAAAGCTACATGCATAGACCTATATATTAATTAGGTGTATATCTGGGAACTGGTAAATAGCAACTCTCTTAAATAAATTTTAAAATGTATTTATTCTAAATTGCTTATCCCTTAGTAAACATGGCATGTTAATGAAGAAAAGGCCTAGAAGGAAATCAACAGATGACTTGGGGACAGTTTCAGAGTGCAAAGTTTCAGGGACACTTGTTTAGACAAAATGTTGACAACAAATCAGGATCATGCGAAGTATTAGTACCGCTTTATAAAACCCTAGTGAGACCACACCTGGAATACTGCAACCAATTTTGATCACCAAACTACAAAAAAGATGTTGAGACTTTGGGAAAAGTACAGAGAAGAGCAACTAAGATGATCAAAGGCCTGGAGACTAAAACATATGAAGAACGGCTGCAGGACTTGGGTTTGACTAGTCTAAAGAAAAGAAGAAATGGGGTGACATGATAGCAGCATTCCAGTATCTGAGGGGCTGCCACAAAGAAGAGGGGGTCAAATTATTCTCCAAAGCACCAGAGGGCAGGACAAGAAGCAATGGTTGGAAACTGATCAAAGAGAGAAGCAACCTGGAATTAAGGAGAAACTTCCTAACAGTGAGGACAATTAACTAGTGGAACAACTTGCCTTCAGAAATCGTGGACACTCCATCACTAGAGGTTTTTAAGAAAAAACTGGACAGTCACTTGCCTGAGATGGTATAGGTTCTCCTGCTTGAGCAGGGGGCTGGACTAGAAGGCCTCCAAGGTCCCTTCCAGCTCAGTTCTATTCTAAATATGGCAGTAATAGTTTTCACATGAATACAACTTTAGAAAGATAGCTACAATCTTCTTTGCAACCCACTGAGAGGGACATCCAGCTGTCCCTGGCTCAGCATTGCTCCTTTTCTTGGACCTGATGGATCTGCTGTCCCCAATGGCTCCAATTTGAATGACAGCTTCAATAATAGCTTAGTCTTCCATATACTGCACCCAGGCTGTAGCTAGAAATATGTTTGCCCTGGCTCTGATAGATGAAACCCATCAAAAGAACTTCAAAGCAAAATTCTTCCTTAAAGAACATTTTATTTGGGAAACAAAGTATCAGTACTACATAGTTGAACCCAAAAACTAAATTCCCTTCCCCCAGATACAAAGTAACAAAGTATAATTCCCACCCTTAATAAACTGTCATAAAGCACATTCTCCAATTAGTTAAAAGCGTGGGCTTCCTCCCCAGCTCCTCAGCCCCCCAAAACGTTATCAGCTTGTCCTTGGGTTCCCACAGCAGCGTTATCATTATGGCTAGCTGAGCTTTCCTTCCAACCCTCCTTCCTGCTGCACTTGATTCCTAAAAGCAACAAAAAGCATAGAAAAGGAGAAGAGAAAATGCCTGCATTTTCATCAGTTGTCAAAGCAGGAACATCCAGTGTTAGCAGCGTTGACAATGTTATCTTGTGCTAATTCACTACATTGACCTATGAAGCTGGCAATGTCTGCTGATATGTGATATGGTAAAATATGTGGAGCTTGCAGGCCACATGAAGAAGAAGTAATTACCGTATTTTCCGGCGTATTAGACTTGGCGTATAAGATGACCCCTGACTTTGGAGCTGATTTGCATGCTTAGAAAGTCATCTTATATGCCGGAAACTACCATAATTTCTGGCATATGAGATGACTCGGTGTATAAGACGATCCCCGACTTTGGAGCCGATTTGCATGCTTTAGAAAGTCGTCTTATACACCGGAAAATACGGTAGTGTTTGGAAATAGAGGGAAAAACAGATCAGGAGACATGGTATAGGGTTTCCTGCCTGAGCAGGGGGTTGGACTAGAAGACCTCCAAGGCTCCTACCAACTCTGTTGTTGTTGTTGTTGTTGTTATTATTATTATTATTATTATTATTACATAAGCAAGTGCTTCGGAAAAGGATTCCCAGTGAAACAGGTGAACATCAATTTAATGATTCTGCCTCCACAATTCACAAGCATAATTCTAACACAGATCCCAAAGTAATTAGCTATCATTTTATCAA